TAAATTATATAAAAATTGATATTCGATCAGATTATGTATGATACATTTAGATAACATAACAACTCAAAGTTTTAAACCTGAGAAATACCACTGCTCATTACGAGTATGTCGCAGCATACAAAAGGTCTAAGAAAGTATCCTGTTATTAACACTGCGCAACGTAATATTCAACCAAAACAACAGAAAATGTTTAAAAAATAAAAAGATATTAATTAACTGCCGATCTGCATCTGCAGGTCTATACAAAAAGGTAGAAACATCTTTATCTGCCTATGTAGCAAGTCCATAATAGTGGATTATTATGGATGTAAGCGAAAATTTTTTGGTGGCATAAGGTCCTTAAATTTGATTTTGAACATATCTTCACTTTAAACTGGTTCGCGCGCTCAAATTTCAAGTGCGGTAAAGTTTATTGCTATGCTGCACCCACGATTTTCCTATCCGTTTTCTCTCTTCGGCAAGAGCGAGTTAGATGAATTAAAAAACAATCCCTGAGTGATCATCAAAAAAAAAAAAAAAGGAAAAGTCTAGGGAGGTCTTTTTCGATTATAGCCAGAGGAAGAAGAAAAATTGCTATTGTTGTCTTCATTTATTTCTTTATTTATTCAATACTCAGCAACAAAATTCGTACGACTGTCTGAAGCTTCAATAACCAGTACGATAATTGATATATAAATGAAACTTATAATATGGTATAAAGGGTACACAATATAACGTTAGGTGACTTGCAAGAAATAACTTTAGTGCTCAGGTGATACCACAAGCAAAACTTAATTAAATCATTCAGTTGGGAATCTAAACTAAGGCTAAAAATAATTAAATTTGTCTTTTTATTATAAGTTTAATTATTTCTGATGCAACAGATCGCTAGTGATTTATTATTGCGATCAAACGGTTAGTGTTACGCGGTTACCGACTGAGTACTCATTGCAGCTGCGACCAACGTACAATCTAACGCAGTTGATATTTGAACCCGCGCACTGTACTATATACTTGGGATTTTTACCTACTCGACTAGTCATGCGGACAATTGCGGATAATTCTGCTCAATTTATAGTTGAATTGAAGAAGTGAAGTAAGAGTGTTGACACGGAACTGGACGCCGTAAGTGGCAATTTTCGTATTCAACAGTTTAATCGTAAATGTCGCACCCAATCGAGTTACGTCTTTTCAACACTGATGGTAAACTTGTGAGAGATTTAGGAGACTAAGATTAGGAGATAAGTTTCATTAAGAATCCCCAATCAACTGAACTAACGCCGGGGAACGGGAGGGAGTGCAAAGTGGGGACGGTACAATCGCTGCTTACTCAAATATATGTTCTACAAAATTATAGTATGCTTCATGTATGTAGAGAAAACACCTTAAGGGGATATGTTGCAAGAAATTTTATTTGCGGAAAATTTTCGTTAAGGGAAAGCTGACCCCCTCAGTAGATAACTTTCTATTAACGTAGACCAAATCGGTGCAGCAGTGCAGTTCGATCGGCTTGTCATAGACTTCGGACATAACCTGAACCTGTACAAAAAGGCATGTTTACATTCGTGTGCCAGAAATTTATGCATTTTCGCTTGCGATCATTATATTTAAATTTCCGTTTTGTGTTCCCAGCCCGAAAAAAAAAATTACTTAAGATAAAATAAGACGCTGCATTTCTCTCTATTATATAATATAATTTTTATGCATATACGTTTTTTTTATTTTGAAGGACAGCCTTTTGTAGAAACGCTGCCTTGATATGATTGAAGGATTCAATTTTTTTTTCCCTCTCTCGACAGCTAGGTGTGAACCAATTAACACTTTATGCTTGTTAAATTGTATTTTAAATAACTTGAAATGCAATTAGCTGGAAATGTCAAATAATTAACACCTATAAGTAGGCAGCACTTAGAGTCAATCAATGAGATTTTTCTACATTTCTTTTTTCCAATTTTTTTTTACTTGTTTTTTTTTTTTTATTTTTCTCTTAATTGCAATAAATAAAAGATGAACGTTTTTTTTTTTCCAATTAATTTCAATAACTAAAGAGCACAACCCTTCAATAAAATTCAATATAGAAACGAATTGTCAATATTAGATCTCTCAACCCTAAGCAATGCAATGCAACGGCAATAAGAACAGCTAGAAGAGAGATAAATAATTAAATGTTAGTCTTTTTTTTGTTTTTGGTTGAACGTTTTTTCTTCTTTTTTTTTTCCATTTTTATTTATGTAACTGTGACTGCATAAGAGTTACGTATTGTATAAAAGAACAACCCTAAAATGCAGTAAAGCAAGCTTTTGAAATTTTCAACGTAACCAAACAATTTTCTTTTTAAACACAGCCAAGCATGGCAGAGCATACATTTAGGATGCAATCTATAAAACTGCAGCTCAAAATATCAAAAAGAAAATGAAAAAAATAAAAAGAGAAAAAAGTGAAAAAAAGAAAACAACATTGAATTCTATTTTCAACATTTAGGCTCATGCGTTGGTTGGGTAACGAGAGTATCCCCCTGACATGCATATAGAAATGGTTTTTTTTTTCTTTTTTATAGCTTATTGCTTATGTATTCATTTGCTCAATGCAACCAATAGGCAAACGTAAGAGAAAATTGTCTACTAGAAAAATTGCAATTTTTATGTTTCGTATTTGCATCTAGGTACGTGGTACATGGTACATGGTAGGCAGTATTGGTATTAGTTGGTTCGTTGATGCCGCTGCTGTTGGCTAAGTCTTACTCACTCGTACATTAATGGCACCATCAGCGATAAAATTGAAAAAAAAAGTAAATAACAAAAACAACAAACTAAACAACTAAACAACCAAAACACCAGGCATCAACAACAACAAAATAGGTTAGCTAAATTGCTGCTTTTTTATTATATTGCACTAAGAGTTTTCTACTCACTGATGATATAAATTTTCAAAAAATAAAAAATTTTTCTCTTTTAATTTACATCCAATTCCAAAAAAAAAAAGCGATTCAATTAAAAATTCTATTCCGTTTTATATACTCATGTAGAATTTTTCCTATAATTTCTTTACTAAGTTTCAAATCAATTTATGCTGCATACATTATATATATACTCCATCCTATACCAAAAAAAAAAAAAAAAAATTGAAAGCTTGTTAATGGATTTAAAAAAAAAAAAAAAAAAGAAAAAAACTTTTCTTATGGAAAATATTAGAATTGGGAAAAACTGTTAAAAATACATGCCCTGGGAAAAACAAAGCATAACTTTGGCCTTAATGGAATATTATAAAGTGAGGCATAGTTTCGAGATAATAGCAACTAAAATGTTTCCCTTTTTGAAAAAACTATTCCCGACAACTACGCACAACTAATTCTAATGCAATTAAAAGAAAGGAATATCAATTGACTAGAAAAGCAAACAGCTACCTTGTCTTTTAATCTAATCGATCAACTCATCTAACAAACCGTACGTACCAGCATAGAATGTCTAAAAGTTTACTTCGGCTTAACTCTCGAAAATTGTATGTGAAATTTCGCCTAACGTAATTAGCTGAAATACTCAATAAAGGTATTTATTATTGAATTTTGCTAGCCATTGAATCAAATAAATTAATTTAACTTCGCTAACTAAGCCCAAATATCACCAAAGCAAAGAAAAGGAAAATACCAATAAGAGATAACCAAAAGCCGAATAAAAACATATTTTTCTATATCTTTATGTTGTTTAAAGGGCAAGATCTTTCAAGGATGACTTATTCTGCTATGAAAGCTCAAGTTTCATTTACCTCCTCTAGTCAACTTTTGTGAACAACGACGGGAACTATCCATGGGGAAATCGTCATCGGGAAATCGTCTTCTTTTGCACTTTTTTCTTATGTGATAGACCAGTAAAGAGGTCTCACATACCTGTGAGCGCAACCTTGCGATCAGTGAAATGTGCAACAGTGTGGCTAGGGGCGCGACATTGCCCCATTATAGATAATATGAATGCTAGAGCTGTGCCATTGCTGTGTTGAATCAATAATCCGAGAGTAGAATATTACGAACTGTGACTGTCGTGGGTATCGAAACACATACTCATGAAAACTCTTTACGGAGTTTAGCTCTATGTAGTTTTCATTGCTTGGAAAATCCCTACGTAACTGGTTTGGAGGCTTCGATGTGATCAACTGTGATCAACTCAAAATCGCGATGATTTTATTTTCTCTCATTTATGTTAAACAATTATTTAAACACTAAAAAATGAATTCGTTTATGATATAGATACATATACCTATTAATATATTTTATTGTTGTAACATTAACTTATTCTTCCGATTGTGTTTCCCAAACAAACATGATACATCATTTGCTAGAACGCAACAAACGCCCCGTGGCTTAGTTGTTTTAATTACAAAAATGGGAGAAATCTTTATTGACTTCATTTCAAAGTTTTTCCTGATATATAAACAAATTAAACCAATTTACTAAACGTTATCTTTAACTTAAACAAACATCAAATTATGCGAGAGAAAAGTATTATTTTATTTACCCGGGAGCTTAAGTGTGTGAAAAGTTGATCATTAATACAATATTTTTTAAATATATCTTAATATAACTCGCATTGCCTTAGGAGGTACAATTCAGCCATAACAAGTCAATGATTGTAAAGTGATTTATCACTTTATTTAGAATCAACAGTAAAACAAACAGAGAAGTTTGCATTCCAGCACAGTTGAAATCTTGTAAAGTGGTCTCAACAAACAAAGGAAGAAAAAAGAGTAAGAGGAAAAAGTAAACCTAAGTAAATGAAAATCAACCCTTATCTACTTGAGACGTTTAGTTACTTTGTTACTTTGTTTCTTAGAAAGACTTTACTTCCTTTTTTTCTTCTAACGTCTTATTTAGATTTAACGGTGAATAACTGTTTTTACGTTTCCTAGGTAACTTCCCATCAGTATTGGTAAACGCTATTTAAACGGTTGATTTCAATGAAAAGGTGTTTGGTTTAAATTCAAACGCGTACAAGAAAGCCCAACAGTTGCGAGTTTAGTTATTAAACAAACGAAGAAAGAACTGTCAAGTTAATGCTGCCTACTAGATATTTAAGTATTGTTTACAATTTCTTACATGTGCTCATTAAGGTTCAGGCATTATTTGAAAATTGCAATCATGTAATTAATCTGAAGGCGAATGAAAAATTGTACATAAACTCATCAAATTATCATCTCGAGCCCTATCTGTCGCGCAGTGCTTGCCGGTACCTGCTGAAAGCTCCAACAGGCTACCAAATTAAACTGGAATGTAACCTGAGACTGAAATTGGTAGATATTGCAAATGCCAATGATCCTCTTAAATCTACTTTAAATATGTTTTTACAGCCCCCTTCTGTCACCGATTGTCGCCAGGAAATCTTCTATTTTAATGCTGAGGGCAACGAGGTGTTAACCGAGTCAGAGTATTTTTGTGGTTCGGGTGAAATCAAACGAAAAAGTTTCCTCAATCAAGCTGTAATTTCATACATTTCAACAGTTGACTACAAGAACAACGCTAACAATAACAACAATAACAACAACAACAACAGGTATGCCAGGCAAGCAATGGCAATAAATGAAGATATAACAATTTCCGATAGTGGCACTAAAAGTGGTAGCTTAAGCACTTTAACTAAACCGAGACTAAGTGAAAGAAGAGTAACGAAAGAACGAAAGAGGAAACAAATAGCAGGAACAACAACAATAACTTCAAGTGCAACAGTAGCTGCCAGCAACAACACAAGCACCGTCTTCGCCTTTGCTAACATTTCAATGATTTTTTTAAAACCATTGCTTGCCCATGAACGAGCATTGTTCGGTTATGTGATTGCCTTGTTGTCTAACAAAATTGGTACAAAAACTTTTACAAAACCAATACAAGCAACAAGCGTAACAACAAGTGTTTCTTCAAAAGTTAAAAGTGCTCAGAGACGTTGTAAGATTTCCTTTAAACGTGCCGGCAAAATCTTTACCAGCCATCAAGACCATGCAGAAATTGGCGGCTCTTTTTCATGCTTAATCGAAACGATTGAGGCAACATGTGAATGCGGTCGGTCATCAGCAACTTCAATAGCAGTAGTGAAAGTGACCACCACCTCGCAGACAAATAACGATTGGGATGGTGAGACGGGTGTCAATGAATTTCCTTCAATGGCCGGCGTGATGACCGTAAAATACAAGCAAATTTTTTGTGGAGCAACTATAAGTAAGTTTCCATTGCCACTCTTGTTTTTTTTTATTGTTATTCTTTTTCATTTTCTATCTTCTAAATATACTGCTGAACACGTAAAAGAAAGAAAAACCTGAGTAATAGAAAGAATTGAATTTTCACCATATATATATAGTTCATCAACATTATCTACTATCAGCTGCTCACTGCTTTTTAACACCAAAAACCAATAAAGCAGAATTGCTGCAAGTGGTTGTGGGAGAACATAATTTGTCAACAGGTGTGTATAGTAAGAAAATAATCGTTCACAGTTTCTCCATATTAGAGATACGAAACTCAATAAAGAGGAGAAAATTTTCGATTGGTAAATGAAAAGATTAGAACTTTATTATGATTTGTTTTTAAAAAGCGAGTCTTATTAAATTTATCATGGATCAGTTTGGCAGCAGGGACTGCCCAGAATTGATCCATAAACATTGAGATATGGAATCCCAAAGTAGAAACAAAGTAAAGTAAGCCGAAACCTGTTAAGTCCAGTCATCAACGGGACTTCATTCCCGTTCAATATGTCCAAGGCTTTGTCAATAGCCTTTTAATAGAAGAATTTGTCAAGATCTTCAAAATATGTTTCTGTTTTCGCAACGACCTCAGCATTTGACTCACATCGTGCTCCCTGGTCCTTGGGAGCCAGACACGATTTTCCACACTAGTCACTGACATGCACTTCTTCCATTGAGATCGAGAACAATTTTCAGTATGTTGTCGATACTTTCTGAGGTAACCATCTTCCTTGGGCGTCCAACACCAACTATGCCCTTATGGCCACGTTCAAAATCAGTAAATTATCGACTGGTTCACGTTTTCAACGAAAAAGGCTTGCAATAATATTGTTCAAGGTAAAACTGGGTTGAACGATATGTTTCCATCAATGTTTAATTGACTGCATTCGAAGAGTTCCTTCGTCATTAAAATCTCTCCATGAATCTCTCCATTTGAAATTTTGACAAGCCTTCTTGAATTTTAGTGTGTGTTACTTTTTAAAAGTGATACAAATTTTTTGCTAAAGATGGCATCGATTTCTTCATTCCGGAAATTATTGACCGATGTTAAGTAAAATAATAATCGCAACCGAAAAGCTATAAACCATACGTAATATACAAGTTAGTTACCACTGCTACATTCTTTCACTTTAATAAAATTTACTTTTCTTCGCTTTCACAGATTTCGAAACACCTTTCACACGTTACTTTGCAGTTCAAAATATCATCAGTCATGAAAATTTTAGATCTACATCCAGCACAGTTTCTAACGACATAGCCTTACTTAAAACTTTAATTAGCATTGAATTCAATTATGGTGTGGCTCCGGCTTGCTTGCCCTTCCACTTCAATGCACCTGAGCCGAATGATCGTGTCATGGCAACAGGTTGGGGAACAACATCATTTGGCGGACAACAGTCTTCCCTCTTACTTAAGACTACGCTGGATGTTATCCCACGGAACCAATGCGAAAAGTTGACTTCACTTCCACTAACTCGCAACATTTTTTGCACTTTTACTTCCGGTCGCGATACTTGCCAGTACGACTCCGGTGGTGCTCTTTATCAGCGCGATAGTGAGGGTCGTTTGTTTACCGTTGGTGTGATCAGCTACGGCTTCGCATGTGGCGGTCAACAGCCTTCGATAAATACACGCATACGCTCCTATTTGACGTGGATTAAAGCAAAAGCTCCGGAAATTATATTCTGCATTACATAGCTTTTCTTCTTCTTCTCCTTTTTGGTCATCTAAAGATATTCTGAATTGATAGCACTGTAGACAATTCGATCTCTACTCTTAATTAAGGAGAATATCTGCTTACCTACTAAAATGCAAAGTCAAAGCTTTTTAAAAACTTTTTGCGATATTTTTAAACTTTCTACGACAGTCTTCGAACTTTTAAGGCTTTTAAAAATTATTTTCCTCCATTTAAAATGCTTAAAAAATAAAATAATTCCATGAAAAAAAGTTATTTGACAAAAAGTTATTTTTAATAGACAAAAATATTGTTTGTTAGGAAAGTTAAAAAATTGAAAAAAAAAAAAAATTCGTAAATTTAAAATCAAAACTAAAACTTTTTCTATAAAAGTCTCCTGAAAATTTCCTGTAGAAATATGTTTAAAAAAATTGAATGAAAAAGCGTTGGCTATACTTAAAAGAGTCGGCATACTAAATTTGTTAATTGTTTGTTAGGTATTGTATGTAATAAGCATCGAGAAACCCATAAGGTAAGTCTTGCATTCATATTACGTGGATCCTATGAAACCATAAAATTTTTTTCTCACGTAGTCTGTAAGAAAATAATTTGTGAACAGGACATCACGAAAAGATTCATTACCAGATATGCGACTTGGATCTATGCAAACGACAAGAAAAAAACCGCATCAAAATCGCTACAAAATTAAGATCCTGTTGACAGTGTTCTTCTATTGACGCGGTGTTGTACATAATAAGCTTTTTCCATCATGGCAAACCATCAATAAGGAAACTTATTTGAATATTATGAAGACTATGCAATTATAATTGACCAAATCACCTTAGCTTTTGATCATAACAATATCTATATAAAGATGACTATGATAAATAAATATCTGCCTACTTACACGTTCAAATCACTCTTATCATCTCAAAAGGTGTGCCTAGAAGAAGGAATATGACCTCAACGATTCTCTATGATTCCCCTCAGATTATATGTGAAATCGTTGTTTGGGTCCAATCGCATATTTATCATTTTATTTTATTCTCCTATTATTATGTTGTAAATAATAGCGTTTAACTTGAATCATAAATATATAGGGAATGGACTCTGCATAACAAATTTATTAAGAAGTAATCTAAACGAGAAACATTTTACGAGGTCAGGATCCACCATCAAATGCCCTACGCCGCTTTGTTTAATACAGTTATTTATATAAGGACTTTTCAATGTGAGGCGTTTTATGGGAAAGGGATCGAAAAAGTGGTCCAATTCGAATCATTCTCAATAGCATATGTTCTTGGAGCAAAACGTGTCTTTGTACCGTGATTCATCGAAATATCTCAAAAATTGAGACCTGAAGACTGAATGCAAGACCGGACAGACGGACAAGCAAACGATCGATATAATGAAAGATAGGTCTATTTCAAGCCCTTCCAGATATTGTATACATCTGCGCAACTTGGTGTACCTTTGCCTTACAACTGGTGTAGAGTATAAGAATGGCAATGACTGCACGGATTTGCATTATCTGACAGCTTTTGCAGCTTCTAATAGTACCATAATTGTAATCTATATAGAAAAGTGAATGTGCTTTGTACGTAAGAGCAATCAAACCATTTATTCGATTGATGTGAAATTTTTACATAATATTTAATTATTACTAAGTTTCGTTAGATGATTCTGCCGAATTAGCCCCATATACAATTTAATAATAGTTAAATGTAATAAAATTCATTTTTATTCTCTGGTTGATTCGCTGAGCTTCGTCTCAGGCAGATTAAAAAAAATAAATAGATGAATGTTCAAAGTGGGTTTGTTGTCAATGCTAAGTTTGAAAATAAATAGTTGACGTTGTTAGTGAGCGAGAAAATTGCTGAACCGGAAAAGAGAAGAATGCCGCGAAGACTACGATGTTCACGAAGTCGACGTACTCAATGACAACGAAACATACAAATGAGTAAATCGGAAGAATAACGATCACATTCAAAAGAATCAAGGAGAACGAGATACGACGAATCGCGCGCAAGTCGAAATCAAGAACAATTTGTAGCATACAAGGCATCAACGAGATTAAGATTCTCGCAGTTGCGTAAAACCTCCACAAATCGCGAGAAAATCCAGCTGATGAAATGCAACAAGTGCATCTTCAAAATCCATGTTTTTCCGCATTATACGTAATCGGATGTAGAAACGACCAGCACGATCTACACGAATTAACTGAAAATGGCATTTCGAACCGTTTCATTTACCGCGAAAGAAAAAACCTTTTTGTGACTGGCTATGAAAAGTGGATCAACTACGACAATCTTAAGCGCCAAAAGCCATGGGCCAGGACAGCCATCTACATCGACACAGACGCGGAATATTCATGGCCATAGAGTTTTGCTGTGCGCCATGGGATCAGCAAGGTGTAGCGTACTGTTAAATCGGATGAAACTGTTATTGTAGATCTTTATCGACGTCAATTGAACAAATTGAAAGATGTATTGCTCTGCCGCTCCCCGCATACTTACCACATATAGCGGCTTCTCATTATCACTTGTTCAGATCGATACAGCACGACTTGGCTGGCACGCAGTTTCAAAAGGCAGACGAAGCGCGAAAATGAGTCGATAATTGGATCGCTGCCAAGCCAATATCGTTCTTTCGACACGATATCGCCCATGTTGCCATTTGGATCAGTATATATCAGACCATTTCTTCTCAACAAACTCCTTTTTCAAGTGAAAAAAATGATCAAAATAAATGCAAGCACTTAATATATCTCTTTATTGATTTTTAACCTGTCTAAAACAAAGCTTAGCGGAGCATCTAATGCAGTGCAGCATAGCAGACAAGGAATTTTATATATTTTTCTTAAATTTTTTAATTTACAATGCAAGCAAATAATACCTAACTCGTAAAGGGGCCGGCTTAATAAGATATATATGCTTTAAGCAATGTACATCGGTCTGCACGAGTTCGAGTATATCGATTTATTATTATCGAGTTATCGAGTATTCGAGTTAATTGGGAGGCAATGAGCAAAGAAACATGAAACACTACGCTTGCTTCGCCCTATAACTATCCAGTTTTTATAGAGATCTTCTGAACATTCTCTAAGATTACCGTTTACTATATGTGTGAGGTTTTTCAGTCTTTTCGGTATTCAACAGAATTTGTTTCTCGGTTAGGCGGCTAGATTTAACTTCTTTATTCTCATTAATAATGTAGTATAACGTTCCATAACTTTTACGTTAAGTTATAAAAATGTTGAAATCATCTCAAGAAACCGAACTCATGAATCCTTTCTAGAATATTTTATTAATATTATTAGGTTTTTAACGGTCATCTCTGTGATATTTCAGGAAAAATTAACCCGAGATCTTTCTTCCTAGATAATGTTTCATCACATAGTGCAAAATTGGTTTGCGATACGTTCAAAAGAGTCAAGCAGGAAGTGCTAGTCCAGGCGTCGCGCCCGCCCACTCAAGGCTCTATGCGAAGGTGTGAAAATATGGCCCGATGAATGGTTGCATTAAACGTGGAAAGTACATTTCTTTAGATAAGAAAACTATGTTGCACATGACTCAATAAGTTCGTAGGATGCCATATAGATGGGAAATAGATGGGGAGTCTATATGATTTTCAGATGACACTTATCTTCAGGCGAAATTTGTGAAAATTTCATAATGTACTGAGCATTACAAGCTTACAAGTTGCAATTGTTTTACAAACTGGAAAATACATCGAAATACATTGAGTTAAGCATTTTCCGCAACTACAGGGAATACTTTAAAATCAGACATAGGATAATCCAGTAATGTCGTTGCTGTGCTACTCAGAAAATTGGACTCGAACACAAGGGTTAAGTAAAATGAACGCTTAAACTAAGAGAAAAGAAATCTTTCTAAGAGTTGAGCCAAGGCTCAGACAATTCTCCCGATGTACTAAGTAGCGATAGTTGCGCGAGAAATAGGGCGAGACACGTATGCGGGTTTTAGTAAACGTGAGTCCCACATTGACTTGAGTTCCACTATACCTTGACGACCGCTTTTTAAAAAAACAAATCCTAGTGTATATTTAATGTATTCGCACTTTTTTCATGTACTTTTTTAATGCTGCGCAAGGAATATTGTTAACCTACACTGGAGAAAATTCAAAATTCGCTTTAAGCCATACACAGACTATTCACGGTTTTTCTTCTTTGCATGTTAATTTCATTGAGTTCTTTTTAAGTTTTAATTCAATTTTTAGTAAGTTTATCAAACTTAAATCCCAAACACTTTTTTTTTATATTCTATACCATCTATAGGTATATGTGTGCATAGTCGTATGCGTGTGCATAGAGGAGAATACAAAGTCCTTAGATTTGCTTAATTGTCTTTATAGAAAAAAAATTTTTTTTTTTTTTTTTTTTCAAATAAAACCGTTCATTTAACGCGTAAATACTCAGCGATGAGACTAAAAAAAGTAATAAAAAAAAAATATAAAAATAATAATAATAATAGCAAAAAAAAAAAAAAAGAAAGAAGAGAAGAGAAAAGAAAAAACAAGGTACTAAAATCCAGGCATACACGTAAAGACGTAGGCGCCCCCCCCAACGCGCGAGGCGAACATATATGATATCAAAGTACCAAAGCGTGATTGCTAGTCATAGTCACTATGGCCGCACGGCGATTCATTTTGGATACTTTGCTTGATCCCAGTCGTATACAATAAAACATCGTCAAGTCGAGAATAACTACAAGAACACAATTACATACATATATAAACACTAACGAACACAACTAGAAGAATAACATAAACATATGCATACATAGATACGATACTTATATGTATGCAAAGAGTAGACTCGTTAGAATTAAATTCGTTTTTATTTCTTTTTAATTTTTATTACATTTTACAGTTTTATTAGCTTTGACTTTTTAGACAAGCATTGGACGCGAGGATGTACGGCTGCCGCGAAGAACGAAGAGCACGGGATTGAGACAAAAAAAAAGAAAATAAATAAATAAAAAAAAAAAATTCATAACATAAA